TACACAATATAGGAGTTGGTTCCCTAAAGACACTGATTGTATAGTGTACAAAGCATTGAGTATCTACATGTTACAGGCATCGAATATTCATCTATTATTGGCTGGTAATTCCTGTTTCAGCCTGTAAATAAGCTTTTTAAAGGAATACGAGATATTTGTAAGAAAGCTAGTTTCAAGGAGTAATGATAACATCATTTACAAAAAAATTATGATGTTTTTTTAGCTTACGTGAACTATAGAAGAAATAAATCCACTTTTCAATACCCCATGACCTTCGCAGTACTTTATTTAGTATTCTACAAAACGTTTGGGTTCAATATACTAAGCCGTTTTTGTTGTAGGCTGGCAAGATAATTATAAGAAGAATTACAAAAGGGCCATTTTGAGCAGATCTTGTAAGTCTAACATGAGTGCTTTTTTGTGCATTTTTTACATGTGTACATTCTTAGCAGTCAATAGTAAAGGATTTAAAGTGTTGTTTGAACTGAATATTTACTGCTTTTTGCTTGAATGTTCTATTAGGTTTTTGTACAAATCCCTGTGATCCATATTATGAACCACTTTTGCAGTTCATGATAAGTAAGATAGTTTGTACATGAACATAATATTTTATAATTTTCATTATTGGACATATATTATCGTTCTGATGTATGTGGGTAGCTTACTTTGAGCAGAAAATAATATTATTTACAAGTATACTTTAACATTTTTCCTCAGCAGTATTCTAGCATACATGTTTCTAGTATTAAGCCTAAATGAGCATTGTTGTTCTTGGTTTTAACACCAGTAAAGGGATTTATAAACTTGTTTCTAGTACTGAGCCTAAATGAGCATTGTTCTTGGTTTTCATACTAGTAAAGGGATTTTGTAAACTTTTTTTCTAATACTAAGTCTAACTGAGCATTCTTGTTCTTGGTTTTTCCCACCAGTATTGGATTTTATAAATTTATTTCTAGCACTAAGCCTTAAGTGAACATAGAGATAGGCTTGTACAGGAGAATTCTACTAACAATTTAGTTAGTCAGCTTATTTATTAACAACAATTTCTTTAAAAATATGCACAAAAGCAACAACCAAATTAAATTTGACCTTTAATGTAGCAAAATTAACAAAAACTAATTCTATGATATTTCACCATACTAGTAATTCAAACCAAAATAGTGGCAGACATTTTCTTAAGAGATGGCAATTTTAATTTCTAGTCACTTTGAAACTCCATTAAAAGCTCAAAACCTACCAATGCTACTGATCTGCTCATGCCTGCATTAACTTCATTTCAGAGCTTTATAATAACAACAAGGCCACAACTTGTCTCTCACAAAACTGAACAACAAACTGTGGGTTCTCATCAGACTTATGGTGTCTCATGACTAAGAAAAGCTCATTCTAAGCTGCCTTCATGATCTCTACTATTGTTGGTAACACAGAAAAGTTCCTTTATCGTTTCTCTCAAAACAGAACAGTTGTTTCTCACGGTCTTTCATGTATCAAACGAAACGACTCTGTTGGATACTGAGAGAACATACGATGACATTGTGTAAGTTTCTCCTTGTCCTGTGAACAAATAATTAACATCAAATTACAACTTCTCAAAAAGATAATACTATCAACACACACTAAATAAACTAAATTGATATTATGGTATTGGACAGCACCACATGTTAGCTATCCTCTCAGTTGATACATTTCTTGGTTAAAATGTTTCACAAATTCCAGTACGATTTGAATGCAGAAAGTCGCTCAAGTAAACAATTCATCTTTCTTTACTCTCGCATATATAAGACTGAGATCCACTAACTAGCTATCAGACATGTTATCTTGCAGGCTAGATAGTTGTTACTTTACTATAAGTCTTGAGACAGACAGCTGCCTTTTCTGTCAGCAAATTGTGTAATGGCCTGGAATTCCACACCCCTATGCTGAAAGGTGTATGGCTTGATCACGTGTGAGGAGTGTATATTGGTTAACTTGGATTTGTTTGTATTATTGTTTTAGTACTTGAAGTCAGGTTCTCCCCTGGTAAGTAAGTTTCTCAGAGAGATTTTCATAAAGGTACATATTTTTCTGTAGCTGTAACACTCATTACTATATTTTGTTGAATTTCACTTGTTTTAACTTTTAAAGTTTTAAGCTAACTAGTTTTGTAAGACCCGTGAAAGTTAGATTTTATCTCTTGTTTGTTCAACTAGAAGTCTTATTTTAACATTTTTTTCTCTTAGCTTACAGGTGGGGCTCACTCTGGACTGGTAAGAGAGATATATTAAAGTTTTTCAACACACTTCTCAATTCAATTCGAAACATTCATTTCAAACACTTACTTTTGTTTTGTAACAGTGTATTGTGCTTGTTCTTTGACTATAATTTCTCCATAAAGATAGTTGTACATTTTGTGTAGTGCTTTTTTCTTATTGGCAAACTTACACCATTAACTTGTGGAAGGGTACCTTGCAAACTTCCTGCTAGCAAGTCCTAACAGACTACTGTGTGAGAAATTCGTGTGTTGGAGAATATTACAAGATCATTCTTGTAAGAATAAAAGCTTGTTGAGAATAGCCATTTCTTCTTGCTACATATTCATAGCATGATTGATTAAAGTTTAAAAGAAGTAAAATTATTCAGTAACCGATGATACCAATACACAGATCTGAACTTTACTTAGCAATCAGTGAAGTGAAAGCTAAAATTTCTGGTATCTTATCTGAGTAAAGCATCTACCCTGTTATTGGATTTGCAGATTCAACTCCTTTCCAACCTAAGCTTTGACTTCATGAGAAAAATTCTTCTTGTAAAATCACTTGACCCAGTCAATTGACAAGAGCAATTCATCAGCATTTAACATCACCGATAAGTTCTTGTCAGAAGCCTTATTCTTTTTCTGGATAGGAATTTGTTTCCTGGACTGGTGATGAATCATTAAAGAAGACAAAGCAGAATTTGTTTCCTGGACTAGTGACAAAGCAGACAAAACAAAATTTGTTTCCTGGACTAGTGATGAATCATTAAAGCAAGCAAAGCAGAATTTGTTTCCTGGACAAGTGATGAATCATTAAAGTAGACAAAGCAGAATTTGTTTCCTGGACTAGTGATGAATTATTAATGCAGACAAAGCAGAATTTGTTTCCTGGCCTAGTGATGAATTATTAATGCAGACAAAGCAGAATTTGTTTCCTGGCCTAGTGATGAATTATTAATGCAGACAAAGCAGAATTTGTTTCCTGGCCTAGTGATGAATTATTAATGCAGACAAAGCAGAATTTGTTTCCTGGCCTAGT